AAACCTTACTCTGGGAGACGTTCCGAAGGTTCCACCAGCTAGAATTTGGGGAGCACAAATCAAATAAACATATACATCAAACACACAAGGTGTCACTAACCCTAGGGGGATCAGTTGGAGGGCATAGTATGGAGCCCACAGACCCCAACACCAGAGAGTGTACAAGAGGCTAGAGGTGTAACGTGTATTAAAATTGTGCTCCTGGGAGGATTTTTGGCGATTTACATTGTTTTCCCAGGTAAAGACAAACTGTGTAAAATGTATTTAAGGTTTAAATCTGATGTTGTGTATGTGCACTATGTAGGGTGTACCTGTATGTTTTGATTTCCTCTAATCCTGCCTTGCGTTTTCCTTTCAGTCGACAATACATTGCCTCTCAAAGGAGCAAATGTGTGCGTTGGGCTTTAGGTAATTTGGTGAGTTGGCTTTTGGGTCTTGACAATTTTTGCTCACGCAGTGATACTCTAGGGTGTAGAGTATCAAAGAGAGGACACATAGGATTGAGGAAAAATCCTCACCAACCAAAATAGCGAACAAGACCCTGGACTTTTCTAATGTCTAAAACACTGGACAAAATCCTGGGCTCAGGCTGCAACAATACACAGAGCCAGAATGGTTTCACCTGGGACTGTTGTTCAGCCTGGAATTCCAATTTACACCTCCACTCTAACACAGCAAGTCAACCAAATCTAACACTCTAGACTGAAACTAACTTTTATACCTCGGGCTACTTAGCACAGACAGAATGGGCGCCTACGCAGATACCGAACATTCAGCTTCAATCAAAATCAATTCATGGAGATATTGGGCATTCAACCTCAATCAAAATAGATTCACACATATCCTAACCATCAGGAAACTAATTGACTTCAGAAAGAAACACTAGAAACATAGTGCGCAACACAGATTTGAGAGGAGATAACGGGGCACACAGTCTGTATAAGACATAACAAGGTGTAGAGCTGGATGAACACAGCAGGCCAAGCAGCATCATAGGAGTAGCCCCGATCTCACCTGAGAGTTTTGTACTTCAACAACAAGCTTCTGCAGAAATAGCTTCCCCACAGGCTTCCAGCCCCAACAAGCAGCTTCAGAACCGAGAACTTCAGAGGCCGAACAGAGAAGCTGAACTGAGAAGCCAAACCAAGGGCGTCATCACAACAAAGGACATCCGAGAAGGGGGAAGCCAACCAAGCACTATCCGGATAATAGCTTCCAGACACAGGTCTGACCCAAACCAACAGAACCCACAGCAAGAACCTCAGCAACCGGACACACTTTAAAACTGTGTTTTCCTCGGTGGTGAGCTGAAACTCCCGAGACCCCAAAGTTCTGACCTAGCCACAGTGAGGGGAAGGTGGGGGTGAGAGTACAGGGACCCAAAGGTTAGGAAGCCTGATTAGTTTCTGTGATTAAAACTGTTGTTTAGGTTCTAACAGTGTTTAATCTGGGCTTAATTTAATAGTGTATTTAATTACTGTCCTCTACATTGTTGTGTCAATTTCACTGTTTTATTGGGTCAATTTCACTGTTTAGTGCTTTTATTTGTATTTCTTGTATTATACTTACCTTGTGTATTGTAAATAAATGCAAAGATTCTTTTGCCCTGCAACACCTTCTGCCTTCTTCATTTCATATTTCCTAAATTAGTCCAGCATCAGAGCGAGGGACCTGGGGGTCATTCGAACCACCTAAAACCAGCAAATTACTGATTGCAAACCAGAACGCTACACCGCTCCAGCTGACTTCCCTCACCTTTGCCATGCGCTAATGGAGGTTCTGCAAAACCGCTCAGTTCCTTTGCTCAATGCCCTCTAACAACATCACCACCTATTGCTGGAAGTCCCATTGCATTCTCAAGACAACAGAATCATGAACTTAATGTAACTTTTTAAAAAATAGTAAGTAGCCCAAGTAACTTCACAAGAGCTTTACCAATCAAAATTTGACACTGAGCTACACAAGGAGATAGTAGGACAAAGGGACCAGATAATATGCAAAGATGGCAGGTGATAAGGAGGTACAAAAGGAGGAGAGAGGGATGGATAGGCAGAGGTATTGAGGGAATTCCAGGGCTCAGGAATAAGGCAGCAGAAGGCATTGCAGCCAATGGTGAAACAAATACTCTCAGGGGTGAACGTGTGCACAAGAGATCAGAATTGGAGAAGCACTGTTAACTGGGAGATGGAGAAAGTGACAGAGATCAGGAAGGATGGATAAATTTGACAGCAAAAGTGCTGGAGGGAGCCAGTGCCAGTCAGTGGCCAAGTGGAGTTGAGTCAGAACACAGCCCCGTGATTATATTCAATGGCTGTGCAGTCTTGAGGAACCATGTAGTTCTAATGTTCTTATGAATGTAGGGCCACTGGCTGAATGTGACTTGGTGCAAGATACCGTATGGGCAGCAGAGCTTGAGATAAACCCAAATTTATGCTGGGTCCAAGCTGACAGTCTTCACAGGACAGAATTGAAAGAGTTATGTCAAAAGGTGGCAAGGCATCACATGAGGTGAGGAAGAGCTGGGATCAGGTGTTGTAATGGGGGTGGGGGAGAGGGGCAGATGAGTTTGCTCATGGAGCAGGCATGGGGTCAGAAGCTCATCTCACTGTCATACAAAATTACTTGAAGGGAAACGAATCCAAAATCTATTTTCGATACATCCTGATGGAGTTCTCATGGCAGTGGCCTGAATCTTTGTGACCGTATGAGCATCCTGGAAGTCTATTGCTATAGGTTTAAATGTCCTCTTCATTTACAGCCTTAGAGGGAAGGTACGACAACCCTGATTTCAACTGGGGCATGTAGAGGCAAAAGCAGCCAACAAAACATCCACTCCCCATTTCCCACCGTCCTCAAGAAAACTTGAACTCCAAGGCCTCACTTAAATCTTCCAAGGGTGAGTCAGCTGAGAATGATGAGGAGGCTGGGGCCTGGGTGGGACGGGATTTCAGGATGCTGGCAGCTTTCACTATGAGCCTGACAAAAAGGTCTCTAGCGTAAAGTAAGTGTACAGGGTACAGGGAAGCAGACACATGGATGCATTGTGGGACAACGATGACTTGCGCCAGTGATATAAGGGAAACTCTGAGTGTACTAGGCCCAGAAGAAAATATTGAACAGATCTATGAACTCCTGAGAGAATAATCCAGCCAAAGTGTCAATTTATACTGCAACAAATTGCACTTTATTGTAAAGGGAGTTTCACTACGCACTGATTCCAAAATTCTATAAGGTGGGTTCATCCTATTCTGAAGTCAAGCCTGCATGGCCCTCATTCATCAGCACTAATCTGGGTCTCTGCTTGTCACAGCTCTGCCTGTTAGCATTCAGAATCACAAATTTCTTCATTACTTCTTTGAACCTGACTTCATATAATAAGGGACCAACCCCACCCCTCATTGAACATACTTTGGTGCCAATGTGTCAGGAGCTAAGCTGAAGCAGCCACTTTCGATTTAAATTCTCTATGCAACCCATTCTTTCGCTGGGCAGGCAGGGTTAAAATCAATCTTTATTTGCCACTGTGAAATAAAGGATTGTAGATCAAAGCAGATTTACGACATCAAGGAACAGTTAATTCCAATGTACTTTTCTCATAGAGACAGAAGGGATTAATAACACTGTCAGAATGTGGTAAATAAAATGGCAAAAAATGCTCTTGGTATCATGCTATAGGTTTCAATGTGCTCAAATCCTGAATCAGACTGCAAAACACACTATCCATTTCCTTAATGAGAAACGTTTGTTGTAAACAGACAACAGAATGTGCAGCATTTGGAGAGGCTGTTCATCTATACAGGTCACTAAGATCTCAGTATTACTCTGTATTTAACATTGGTATGAGATGGTTTCTGCTTCACTCTGTTAACCCTGTAGAAGTCTGGTGATAAGCTGTGACACGATTATCAAATATAATAGATATTTCTGGGGAGTCTTACTCTGCATTGCATCCTATTGAGTTAAGGCCTGACTTCAGAATAAGCTGAATCAATGTTACAGAATTTTGGAATTAGCGTTTAGTGAAAATCCCTTTTCAAAAAAGCTCACCATTATAGTGTAAATCAACACTTTGGCTAGATCGTTCTCTCAGAAGCTCATGGAACTGTTCTAAATTTTCTTTGTCAACTTGGTATTTCATTTGTAAAGAGCCTGTGCTGTGTAGAACGCAGCTTAAGGACAGAATCAAATTTACTGCAACTGCAGGTTCATTGCAGTTACTCCAGAATGAAATTTGGATCTTCATTTCTACAGTTTTATGTGATAAAGGTTTTGTAGCAAACAATAAAGACATAAGTAGATATCAAGTTATCGAATGTGAAAGCATATGACAGATGATACTAATTGGCAGGTTTGTTTTCTGAACAAGCTGGATACTTTATATCCAAGGTTATCCTTCTATTGGTCTTTCTTTCTCGAAATTGACTTTGTAAAATAGATACATATATGCTGAATGAGTAGCTCCATTACAGACAGAAATTAGAACCCTCAAATAGTGTTAAAGAGATGGATAAAAATAGACTCAGTTCCATTTTAGAAGCTAGACACCACAATTACGTTCTAGACTATCTTAAGAGTTTCCAAAGAATGACAAATATGATTCATGTATAAATACAAGGCATTGCACAATTCTTGATATAAGAGCTTACAACACTAAGGCAGTCATCATGACAGACTTACTCCAGAAGAATCAAGTCACCATCGTCTTATCAGACCATAGGGCTGCTTTCTCATTCGAGAAAGACAATTGATGGTGACCTAACCTGAGGGCCACCATATCTCAGGAGAGGGAAGAGGTTGAGAAGCAAAGTCCTTCGTGGTAGCCTCAACCAGTGGTGGGAATTGAATTGGGAACTGTTGGCATCACCCTGTTTTGCAAATCAACTATCCAGCTAAACTGATCCCCTCCAGCAGAATAGCAGTGACTGGAATGCAGAACTATGCAAAGGACATTGCAAAGATGCATTGAATAACAATCAGTTTGCAACAAAATGTTTACTCACTGTAGAGAGGCGAGAGATGGTGCTCCAACCAGCTGGCCTGCCTCTGCCAGTTCAATGGCATGCTTCTTCTCCAGTTTCTGGTATAAAACAACAATGCTGGATTTGGACAAATGTTGCTCTCTGATGAAAACCTTGTTGAGATATTTATTGTTGAAGTTCTCAAACCTGTAAGAAATTCGCAGAAGGACTTACTAGGATTTCTCAAAAAAAGATTCCATTGCAGCTCTGAGATAACAAGGTATAGAGCTGGATGAACACAGCAGGCCAAGCAGCATCATAGGAACAGAAAGGCTGATGTTTCGGGCCTAGACCCTTCATCAGAAATGGGGGAGGGGAAGGGGGTTCTGAAATAAATAGGGAGAGAGGGGGAGGTGGATAGAAGATGGATAGAGGAGAGAATAGGTGGAGAGGAAACAGACAGGTCAACGAGGCGGGGATGGAGCCAGTAAAGGTGAGTGTAGGTGGGGAGTTAGGGAGGAGATAGGTCAGTCCAGGGAGGACGGACAGGTCAAGGGGGCGGGATGAGGTTAGTAGGTAGGAGATGGGGGTGCGGCTTGAGGTGGGAGGAGGGGATAGGTGGGAGGAAGAACAGGTTAGGGAGGCGGGGACGAGCTGGACTGGTTTTAGGATGCGGTAGGGGAAGGGGAGATTTTGAAACTTGTGAAATCCACATTGATACCATTGGGCTGCAGGGTTCCCAAGCGGAATATGAGTTGCTGTTCCTGCAACCTTCGGGTGGCATCGTTGTGGCACTGCAGGAGGCCCAGGATGGACATGTCGTCTGAGGAATGGGAGGGGGAGTTGAAATGGTTCGCGACTGGGAGGTGCAGTTGTTTATTGCGAACCGCTCCCTAACTCCCCACCTACACTCACCTTTACTGGCTCCATCCCCGCCTCTTCGCCCTGTCTGTTTCCTCTCCACCTATCCTCTCCTCTATCCATCTTCTATCCGCCTCCCACTCTCTCCCTATTTATTTCAGAACCCCCTTCCCCTCCCCCATTTCTGATGAAGGGTCTAGGCCCGAAACGTCAGCCCTTCTGCTCCTATGATGCTGCTTGGCCTGCTGTGTTCATCCAGCCCTGCACCTTGTTGTCTCGGATTCTCCAGCATCTGCAGTTCCTACTATCTCCATTGCAGCTCTGCTTTGGATGACTACAGTTTAACCAATTGAAATATTTTCCCCAATCTTCCAGGATTACTGTATTCAATTACATTTCCGAGCTTGCTCCCACTGATTATCATGAATAATGGAAATCTAATTTAAGCGAAAAGGAAAAGAGAGAGAAAAATGGACGTGTTAAGAATCATGATAAAGTTACTAACAAGAATATATTTCTAGCTGGACGAAATTTGATGAAAGGATAAAGATCAGAAGTAATTAGCAAAGGATCTGGAGGGCAGTTGAGAATTTTTTTTTGGGAATGTCATTTTCTGGTGGAAATGGGTTCAATATTACAAGTAGATTTTAACATCAACTGGAAAAGGAAACATCTGCAGAGCTACGAGAATAGAACGGTGTGAGTGAACTGAATTGGATAGTTCCTTAAAAGAACCAGCACAGGTACAGCAGGCTGAATGGTCACCTTCTACGCTGCAAGATTCCATGGTTCTAGACTGAAATCAATGAAGCTGAAACAATCTGAAACGACAACAGGAACTGTAGTTCTGTACCAGTCAGTTAAAGCTGAAGACCACTTCACTGCAATATGCTGGTGTAGACACAACGGCCAAGTAGTTTTGCATTCAATTACCTTTGTTTAGTGTTCTGTGAGACAGTGCAGCTGATGGTGATGGGGAGAACAGGAAGTAATATGTGTGACATCCCATGTCCTGTTATGTTTTAGAAGGGAGCATGAGTGTACTGCAGACCGTTGGCAAGCATAATTCGTTGTGGGATACCAGGCATACTGAATATCACAGTCAATGGGTGAACACTTGCACTAGTGGCTTTTTTTTCAATTGCCCTACAAAAGAGATTTTGGTGAAATAGTCAGTCACCAAAATGTAGTTGTAAGCATTGCCATGGGGAGTATCAGTCACAGTCTTGTATCATAGCTCAGAAGGGGTTCCTGAGAGTGTGTTGCAGGTTGGTCTCTGACAGTGTGTAGATAATTGTACTGACTCCCAAAGATCGTATGAACATCTCAGGGGGTCTCTTTGAGTGTCTCACATTGAAGTTCACTTGCAGTAGCTTCTAGATCAGTTCTCTCAGGAATGGCAATCAGGAAAATCAAAGGCGTGGCCAGAGTGTATATCACCAGCCATAACCTCACTCTGGAGCTCATTGACAGCTTCGCATACCTTGGAACAATTACCGGCAACCTGTCCCTTGATGCCAAAATCAGCATCAGGATTGCCACGGCCACAGCTGTCATTTTGAAGTTAAGAAACTGAGTGTGAATCAACAGCAAATCAATTGAAAACACAAAGCTTATGATCTCAGCACCTGTCTTTATAATGGTGAAGCACGGTCAACTTACGTAAGTCAACGCTTTGGAAAACTGAAGCATAAAAGGGACTTGGGAGTCCTAGTTCAGGATTCTCTTAAAGTTAACATGCAGGTTCATTGGCAGTTAGAAAGGTAAATGCAATGTTAGCATTCATTTCAAGAGGGCTGGAATACAAGAGCACAGATGTACTGCTGATGCTGTATAAAGCTCTGGTCAGAACACATTTGGAATCTTGTGAGCAGTTCTGGGCCCTGTATTTAAGGGAGGATGTGTTGGCATTGGATGAAGGGCTTGTCATGTGAGGAGCAGTTGAGAACTCTGGGTCTGTACTTGAAAGAGTTTAGAAGGATGAGGGGAATCTCACTGAAACTTGCAGAATACTGACAGGCCTGGATAGAGTGGACGTGGAAAAGATGTTTCCACTAGTAGGAGGTTTAGGACCTGAGGAACCAGCCCCAGAGGAAAGGGACGGCCCGTGAGAACTGAGATGAGGAGGAATTTCTTCAGTCAGAGGGCAGTGAATCTGTGGAACTCATTGCTGCAGAAGACTGTGGAGACCAAGTCATTGAGTGTATTTAAGATGGATATAGATAGTTTCAAAATTAGTAAGGGAATCAAGGGTTATGGGCAGAAGGCAGGAGAACAGGAGAACAGGGTTAAGAAACATATCAGCCATGATCGAATGGTGAGCAGACTGAATGGACCAAATAGCTTAATTCTGTTCCTACATCTTATGGTCTTATCATCTAAGAACAGCAGAGGAACAGTAGCTGAACAGCTTTGACCTCTGCTGTCCCAGAGAAATATTGGGCATCTTCTGGGAAGATGGAGAACTGAATAAAGAACTCTACTTGCACACAGGGATTCCCAGCCTGGTTGCCATCTTGAATCGACTATAACTATAATGGCTGGACCACGTTTGCCAACTGGGTAACTGCCACATCTGAAAAGACGTGTTCTATAATGAGGCCAACGGGGTGCCCTTGTCCTCAAAACAATGACGTCCGAAGGTGAGATCTCAAATTGGCCTGAAGTGGGCATGGTGCATCGAACAGCCTCATTGCTCAGCGGATTACCCGCAGTCAAAGAGCCGTTGCGGTTGTGGGACAAGCAGAGGCCAGAGGAAACGATCAAATGGCAGAAAAGGCAGTTTGCTGGAAGGTTAAAACTTAGTCAACCTCGAGCAATGCTGCTCAGATGTGTCGGCTGCAAAAGGACCTGTCATTCCTACAATGGCCTCTATAGTCACAACAGATGGTATTCAAACCAGAAGTGACACGTACCTCAGGCTCTGTCTGTGTCCCGGGATGCATAGGTGCCATCATTATTTCATTTGTACAGCATCTTTGCTTGTTGTATACTTGGAATCTTGTTCAATAGGAAAAAGAAAATCTACATATTTCTCCAGAAAGAAAGCATTTGGCACATTCGGTTTCCTGACTTTAATTTCTCATGAGTGTACATTTTCATTCTTTGGCATGCCTTGGCATTTGCGCTGCTGATGAGATTAGTGTTTAATCGTTGTGGAACAACACTTAGCAATCTGCAGTGCTGACTGTCATTCCAGAACACACATCAAGTGGCACGTTAGGTTTGACCAGGAGCCATGAACTCATAAGATAGAAAGATCATCTTACGAGAGACAGTAATTTTGATGTTCTTTCCCTATATTAATGACCATTGCAACTCATTCACACAAAATCTTTGTAAGTTACATAACCATTAAACTCACACAAGGATTGCTCTAACAGCATGTTATTTTCCAACTTCTTTTTTAATTCATTCACAGTATGTGGGGATATTACCCGTTCCTAACTGTTAAGAGTCAGCCAAATCGATATGTGTTTGGAGTTAACAAAAATGGCAGTTTCTTCCCATAAAGGACTAGATGGGACCATTAGCCAACTAGATGGATTTTTCAGACATTTGACAACAGTTTCATGGTCAACACTAAACTCTTAATTCTATGTTTTTTTAAAATTGAATTCAATACCATGGCAGGATTCCAACCCAGGTCCCCAAAACAATTACCTGGGTTTCTGGATTAATAGTCAAGCAACAATATCTCTAGGCCATCGCTTCCACAATTCTTCACTGTTTAGACAGTAATGGAAAAGACTGGAACCTAACATTCGTACAGGTCCTTACGATGTCTCTCAAAAATATTTCAAACTGTTTTATAAGATTTAGGTGTAGTGCAACTTGCAATGAGGATAAATGCAGTAGTCACCATAAGACCAAAAGACACAGGAGCAGAAATTAGCCCACTCGGCCCATCGAGTCTGCTCCGCCATTCAATCATGGCTGATAAGTTCCTCAACCCCATTCTCCTGCTTTCTCCCCGTAACTCTTGATCCCCTTGATAATCAAGAAACTATCTATCTCAGTCTTAAATGTACTCAATGACCTGGCCTCCACAGCCTTTTGTGGCAGTGAATTCCATAGATTCACCACTCTCTGGCTGAAGAAGTTTCTCCTTATCTTCGTTCTAATAGGTCTTCCCTTTACTCTAAGGCTGTGCCTCAGTCCTAGGCTCTCCTACCAATGGAAGCATCTTCCCAACATCCACTTTGTCCAGGCCATTCAGTATTCTGAAAGTTTCAATTAGATCCTCCCTCATCCTTCTAAACTCCAATGAGTATAGTCCCCGAGTCCTCAAACGTTCCTCATATGTTAAGCTTTCCATTCCTACGACCATTCTCGTGAACCTCCTC